CAAAAGAAATTTAAAACATATTTTAAAACCCATTAAACATGGAACCTGCAGGCAAATACACCAGCTTTTGGAGGGTTTTGCTATATTTGTCATCCCAACACATGAAACTGCAAAATGCAATTTTAAAACCATATCTCTTGCTGAATTGTGTCTATTTAAGTTCATCAATATGATTGTAAAAAGTTCCAAATATCAAGGTTACATATGATTAATCATCAGAAGATATATAGAGGTCCAAACATGAAAACAAAAAAAAAATTAAATAAATAAATACACACTTGTATGATTCACTGGGATTAACTTTGTGAATAGTTCCGTAATTCTCCTTTTAACTCAATCATGTATCACTAGTTCTTGAGTATTCTTTTCTACCACCGGTCCCAAACTACTAGATCCATTAATACGAATTAATGAGGGTAAATTGCCAATTTTATGGTTGTTAATACCTCTATATATAGCTAATATATGTTGAATTATATGAAATTTTGTATATTCTCAGGAATATATTAGTGTCTACTTATTTGTATTGATAATTAATATTCCAAAGGTAGATGCATTAAAAAAAAAAATCTGTAGTTATGTACAACTTGGCTGCAGTTAATGAAATACGGCCGCAGAGCAAACTTGCATGTTTCAGCATTTAAATTTGCTGCATTTCCAATGAAACAAATCAATTTCATTTGTCAAAATCATATTGTTTTTTCAGATATTTAGCTAATTATAAATATTTTAGTACTAAATGCTGTTGAAAGGAAAAGGTAATTAACAAAATAGGGCAAAATAAGAGTTTTTTGTAATAAAATTACGTCAGAGGTTGAAAATGCGTTTCATTTGTAACATAATTAGTAGTTTATAAGGGACGAATGATATATTACATTAAAAAATAATTTATGGCCCATGATGTAAATTTCAGTTGACATTGATAGCCAAATTGAGGAAAGTTAAAAAACCATTCATAAAAGTACATCAATAAACAATCAAGTTCTGAGCATGCCCATGTTAAGAAAGCCCTTGCATATAGTAATTCTAAATAGAGCAGACAAATTTAATAGATTTGGTCATCTGTGTTAAGAAGTACACAAATAAACAATTGTGTAACATAAATCAACGTGTCTGTCTGCCATCCACGTGTAGAATAATATTAATTTAGAGATGCATTATCAGAGTTCTCTGAGACCTATATATATATATATATATATTAATTGATAAGATATTAGATAAATTATATGTGCAAACTTTTATTTCTTCTTGCAAGTTACAAACTAATATGTCTAATAATTAAGAAATAGCGCTGTCATTTTTCAAACTAACATTATACAATGCATATTCTTTATGACAAATTTATATGTATACAAATTTCTCTATGTCATTTGTGTCCCTCATTGCTGCATTTCTGTTAACATATAATAATAATAATAAATTCATTTTGGAAAATTCCAAATTTTGAATTGGGGTTGGCTGTAGTTTCTAAATCAGTAACAGGAACTATAAACTAGCTAGCACCAAATCAGAAGAATGCTTGGTAGCTCAACAACCCTAATTACCCATCTAACTGAGTTATATATTTTTATAATACTTCGATTAAAACAAATTGAGAATATTAAAAAAGGAGATTAAGTCAGAATAAATATATATTGTCATGATCTTAAGTTCCTTAATCCTTACCGTGGTCCAGATATTTGCTACTTCCTCCCACATGGAGTATGTGTAGAACTTACTCATTCCCACATAGACCACATGAATAACAGCAAAGCTGGTCGCATGTATAGTGTACAGATTTTGGTAACATTTGATTCTTTTACACATTAATTTGGTAAAAAGATAAAATTTTGAATTGCATTTAAAAAATTCTCTGGATTATTGATTTTGAGTACAAGAGTGGATTTCAGAACCCGTTTAGTTCGCTGATTCAAATTTTTAATTCGAGTTGAGATGTGATTTTATGTGAGAATTTTTTACTGTAGTTAAAAAATTAAATCTGAATGTTTTTAAAATTTTTTTACTGTAATAAAACTCGATACATTATTTGTGGAATCAACGGTTTTTATTAATATGTGGTGTTTAATATCGCTGACGCCTTTTGACATTGTTCTTACTTCTTACGCAGTTCACTGATAAAAAACGAACAAGTAGTACATCTAATTTTAAGTTGAAAAAAAGTAGCGTATTTTTAGTGTCAAAATTAATAACTACATTTGTAAAGCTTCCTTAGACTCAGGGACAAGACGACCGCTTTAATTTTGCCCTAACCAAATTTCCTTTATATATATTTATTTTCTTAGACCGCCGCATTCCTTCCCCGTGAATTTTTAATTTATGATATTTATATGAAAATTTTTATAACATTTTAATTATACGCTAAAAATTATTTTTAACTTTTGATTATTTATATTTCAAATTTAAATTGCTAAAAATAAATCAATAATATATAGGCTACTATTATAAGTACGTATGCAATTTGTGCATTTTAGATCGTAGAAATGGAATTAAACTTAATTAGAAAATTAATTTCTTTAGATTAAAAATATAAAAATAGTAAGAAATTATAATTATTTGTTTAGATATTTTTATTTTATTAGGGGTGTTTGTGGTTGGTTTGAGCAGTTTTTTTTTTTAGAAATCACCAACTAAACTAAAAATAATTTTTTCTTTTAGGCGGTTGGATATTTTTGACAAAAATTAAATTAAACCAAATCATTCATAAGCGGTTTGGGCAGTTTAAGCTTAAGACTAAAAAAGTTTTTAATAATTCATAAAAATTATAAAATCGTTATTCAATAAAAATAAAAATAAGATTCAAGTTTACAATATAATTTAAAAATAACAAATGTCTAACAGCTCACTGATAACTCACAGAAATAGAGTTATTTAGCATACTTTTAGGCTTAATATTTGTTTATATTCTCCGGGTAAAATGCCTTTGTGTTAGTATTTTGAATAGCATTTATTAATCTTTTTCCGTGTGGCAGAAAGTCGTTATTTATGGGAAATCTTGCTATATTTTGAAGTTATTCCTAAATTCAACTCATTGCATTGACCCTGGGAACTTAGTGCATGATGTCCACAGGAGGTGCTGACGTAGGCTTTTGGTGAGAAAAGCGCGGTGGAAAACACAAATGTTAAAATGGCCCCAATGCCATAGCATTGCTGCAGCAAAGTCGCAGCAAAAGCAGGAGCAGCCAAAAATTAGCAAGCTGGCGCAGTTTGTCTTTTAGCGCTGGTAGTGGTTCAAGCACTGACGGGACAGCTGTAAGAGCACCAGGAGGGGGGGACCATCAATCATGACTCTCATGCATACACTTGTCACTAGGGCACCTCAACATGCCCTAGTATATAAAGGAAAAGGAGAGTATAGTACGAGGGGGGCAGAGAAGAGGAGAAAAAAGAAGGGAAGGCGCGCAGAATTCCTGTACGAGCTGGAAACGGAGACAGAAGAGAGTACAGGGAATTTTGGACGCTGGAGCTGGAGAAAAGAAGAGTACAACACGGATACACAGGGGTTTTTGACCTCAGATTCTAGCTTAGCTGTTTTCTCCTTCTCTCTGTATTTACTTTCCGAGACCTTATGGATCTGTTATTTGTTATTAATTCTGATTTTGTTGAACTAAACATGAGCTAAATTCCTTAGCTAGGATTATTGATGGAACCAAAGTTGCAATGAAGATCTATTTGCTATTTTGATTGATAATGTAATTTTCATCTGGTTTATTCAAGCATATTTATTGTTTACTTTCTATTAAGTGACAGGCCATCATTTAGTAAGAAAACACAAACTTAAGCTAATTCTGGAAAGGTTGGTTAAGTTAGATCTAGCTTGGATAATGTAAGAGATAGTATAGGAATATACTATTATCTTGCACAACCCATTAAAATTGATGTTAACGTCAGGTCTGTAAACTAAAACACATAGGAATATGTTGGTTTGGTTTAAGGAATTACAAGCATAAATCTGTCAGAAGATGATTATGTAGAATTTTAGGTTGACTAGATGAACTTTGCTACAGCAATCGTATAGCAAATCGTGGTCAGAGTTGCAACCGAGGGGAAACCAGTAATCCTAGCCTTCATCCATAATTCTCTAAGCTCAGATCTTGTTGACTTTTACCTCTTGTCTGCATTTAAATTACAGTCTTTGGTCTTATACATTCTTTTCACTTAATTAATATCAATTTGGCATTCAAACTATTCTCAATCATATTGATAAAACTGGTTTTTGTAATAGAATTCCTCATTAACTCAGTCCCTGTGGAGACGATACTTTACTCATTACTATATTACTTGTTCGATTGCGTGCGCTTGCGTGGAGTCATTTTATGCATAGAGTTTTTGGCGAACACTCACCATTTAAAGTTTTAATACAAACTAATAAAAATATGATAGAGTGTATTTTATAAGTATAGAATCTTTATTATGAACAATAAAAATTAAAATAAATATAAAAAATATTTTAAAAATTAAAAAATTATATATGTATATTTTTGAGCGGATTATTGGACAGTTTATGGAGTTTAAACCACAAACCAAACCACCTAAAAAAATTAAATTAAAAAACTTACTAAACCGCTCAATAATCTAAAAATAATTAATAATTTGGTACTATTTAATTTAAATTAGACAGTTTTCACAGTTTGACAGATTTTTTAAACACCTTTATATTTTATTCTAAAACTTTAATTTTATTAACGTCCCCACTAAAAAGATTCCTGACTCCGTGACTTGGTACATATAATGAGCATGAGCTAGTGATTAGTTAGGCTAAAAAGTATTCCCTCTCACATATCGTTTACAATTTAGACAAATGAAAAGAACAAGAAAATGAAGAAAAAAAACGAAGTATATATTCGTATACACAATATACTTATAGAGCACTTTTTTCTTTTTTGAAATCAAGAACAAGAGCACAACCCAGAAGATACAGCATGATCAAAACTAATCAGTACCTGATAATCAGAGAGAGAATCATATTTATAATCAAAAAAAAAAAAAGAGAAGAAGTTGATTTAGCGAGATCGGTATTTAATTAGATCATAAGAACTTCTGACGTTGGACTTTGGAAGATGTCTGATTGATTCATCGACAGCACAAGTTCTCTTGCAAGACATTGCATAAAGATTGATGAAACCAAACCTGTCGCTTAAGCTCCTACACACCTTCCCAGTGCTAGCAATATTCCAAAGCTTTGCATTCTCCTGATCTACTTCTTCGTCGTCGTCGTCGTCATTGTCGCCCTTGGAACACTCAACTAGCGCCGCGAAAAAGGGATCGTCGCTTTTCGATATTGCTTGTTGCTTATTGGGACTAGAAATATTACTTGATGTCTTCTTCATCTTGATCATGGCGCTATTGATGTGATTGAGAGCACGGAACATGTTCTTATTTTTGTTGGCTGTTGGTGGCAATGGAAGGAGCTTTGTTGATGAAGATTGGTCCTGCGCCAGAATTTTCTCGCAAACTTGTTTCTTGGGGATTCCCGGAAAATGCTCCCAAGAAAACGGCACCCCGGAAAACCGAAGCGGGGTTGCGGGGCCCAGAGGAGAATCCAGCTCACTGGGAATGTAGGAGCTTGATGATGAGGAGAGTGAAGAGGACGAGGAAAAGGATGGTGTTCTACGAGAAGAATGTTTTGATGGGTATTTCATTGCCTGACGGAAGGTGTCGTATTGATGTTCTTTCTGGGAAATTTTAGAAGAGCTAATTGTTTGATTGTGTACTGAGGAATCCATGTGTATGTGTTAGTTCTTACTTCTGACCAGAGAGAGAGAGGGGAGAAGAAAGTAGTACTCTTTATCTCTCCTGTTTTCAATGTCTTGCAATGCCTAAATATATGAGGAGAGAGAAACTATTGTCTCTCTTGGAGATGTATTGACTTTCTCTGTGTCACTTGTTAATTGTGTGGATCCTAATTAATTATTATCTTAATATATAGACGTTAAAATTTTCTTGTAATACTTTTCGTGATAGTAAGGGGTTGTTGTTTTGGAGTATAATTTGAGTGTAATTTTTGAATTAAATTTGAGTTATAATTTGAGTTGAAGTTGTAATTTGAATAAAATTGACTAAAATTGAATAAAGTTAAAACTTAAAAGAACGTGAATTTAAATAAAATTAGAATTTGAATTGTCTTTTTTTTAAATTTTTAGACAAAAAATAACCCCTAAAATTCTCTACAGTAATTAAAAGCTGACGTAACCCTTAATGTTAAACCTTATTAATAGAAAGAAGGTGCTTATAAATATCTTTTTGATATAAAATTATTTTAGTATCATGCATATGTTCTTAATATCTTTTATTTTTAATAATATTAAAATATTATTTTAATATTTTAAAAAATATTTTTTTAAGGTGTCTGTTCATTTCGTTAATTCGAGTTTTGCTACAGTAAAAAGCTCTCACAAATAATCACATCTAACTTTTTTATTACAGTAAAAAGCTCTCACATAAAATCACTTTTCAACTCGAATTAAAAACTCGAATCAGCGAACTAAATGGGCCTATCTTAAAGCCAGTTTTTGCAAAGTGAAATATCAAATATGTCCTTGTCATTATCTTCTCAACCGATGACCTGAAATTTCATTTAAAATTCGAAGAAATTGAATATATATATATATATATATATTTAAAAAGGGGAGGTTTCTAAGATCTGAGAAACTATCAACCCCTTCTCCCTTTCGATCTGTGATGCGCCGGCCAAATCTTGGATCTCAGTCCGGATCCGGTCATCTCTGCCCTTCCTGTTCGTTTGTTGTCTGGTTCTTTGCTTGGTTTTGGTGCAGACCAAGAGTTTGGTTATTGCGATTTGATGGGCTTAAGTTTTTGCTGAAACTGAGCGGGAAAACGATGATGTTTGTAGAGAATTTGCTTGAACGATGATGTTTGTTGAGAATTTGCTTGAGAGGAGAGGAATCAACGGGAGTTGTTGATTGCATGGTTTTTCATTCTTGATCAAAAGATCCAATTGAACTTTTTTTTTTTTTGCAACAACAGTGTGGAGGTGAGCTTGAGCGTGCCAGGGGATGGGTGATGCTTTTGGTTGAATTTTTGCGTTTGAATCTGTTTGTTTTATTTTTGTTTTTGTTTTGTCTTGTCTTTTTTTTTAATTGCACAGATAGGTCTCCGAAGTTTTATAGCAAGTGAAGTTTAATTTTTAATCATTCTTTTTAAACAAAATAATTTTTAGGTGCGTTTAAAATTTATTTTAAAATAAATTTATTTTTTATATGAAAATAAAAATAAAAATATTTTTAATATTAAATAAAAATTATTTTTAAAAATACGTTTAGTAATTTTATGAAGATATTATTTTTAATATAAAAATATATATTAATATCTCTATCTTTTTTTTTATTTGAGAGAGGAAAAAATAGAAATAAAAAATAAAAAATGATTAAAAGTCATTTTTTATTATTCTCTCAATTTACATTAAATTAAAAAATTATTTTTATTTTTATTTTTTATCTTTAATTGTGTCAAACACCGTCTTTCTGTTTTCATTTTTTTCCTCAAAAAACGTAGAAAACAGAAATAAAAATAACTTCAAACACAACCTTAATCTCTTTAAAAAGTGACAATTTAATTTTTCCGTCAAATTCTAATAAATTTTTAACAAAAAATATTACGTGACCCGTGACTCATTTTTTAATAAAATAACTTAAATACCCCTATTAAAAAAAACATTCTATCTTCCGTATCTATTTTTTTCCCCCAAATTTCATCTTTTACACAGCGTCCGAGAAAAAAAAAAAAAAAAAAAAAAAAAAAAAAAAAAAAAAAAAAACCCTTTCTTCCCCAACGCAACGAACCACCCCAGAGAATTATGGTTGGAGTTTATGTATATGGACTGATCTTTCTTCGTAGTAGTCTTTTCTTGTTTCTTTTCATGAAAAGAAACGAACCACCCCAGAAACGAGCCAAGCTTCCTCCCGGCTCAATGGGTTGGCCTTACACAGGCGAGACTCTCCAACTCTACTCTCAAGACCCAAACACTTTCTTTACTTCCAAACAGAAAAGGTTAATTAGTTACACGCTTTTTTTTTTTTCCGAGTCTCTGAAGAAAGAACCTTCCGTTCTAATTATTTTCCTTTCTTGTACTGCATGGCCATATCTGACTCAATCAATGTCTTGTATTGTATACAATCATGTACGGCGAGATTTTCAAAACCCATTTCCCGCAAAACAAGTACTTGAACAACACGAATTCTCTAACATTACCGGAACAGCATTTTCTTTTTCGATTGATGAACAACAGGAAAACAAAAACCAGAAAACAGTATTTAAGTCCATAATCCCACACAAAATGAAGAAAGAAACTGAGTTTGGAAGTTGAAAAAGGGAGTAACTTGAGAAAGCTCGTTGATTGCTTACCCATGGTGACTCGGAAAGGTTGAGTTGTGAGAATCGTTCAGTGGCGATTTAACGTTCTGAGTATTTGCACCGGGCGATGCCCTAATTCTGTTGACGAGTACTCGGTCACGGACGAAGGAAGGAAGGAAGGGGACTCGGTTGTCCGAACTCAGAAATGCGTTTGGTCAGTGTATTCGTGTCATAATTTGAATCATGATTCGTGATTCACTACAGTATTTTTTCTCACAAAAAATACACATAAATCGAAATAATTATGAATCATGATTCTGAATTCATAAACTAAACGTCTACTAAAACCCTGACCGGAGCTCCAAATAATCAATGGAGGGAACTGAAGAATAAGAAGGCTTTTCTAATAGGGGCATTCAAGTTATTTTACTGAAAAATGAGCAACGTGATGGGTCATATCATATGACATGTTCTATTAAAAATTTAACGGAACTTAACGGAAAGGACAAAATTGTCACCTTCTAAAGAGGTTGAGGGTTGTTTTGTTGAAAAAAAAAAGATTATGAACCAAACTATCACTTACTAAAGAGTTTATAGACTATCTGTGCAATTTACCTTTTTTTCTCTATTGATTTGAATCGGATTTAGGAGGAGAACGAAGATGATAAAATCTGGATTTATTTTTATTTTTCTGTTTATTTGGTTTAATATTTTTAATACGTTCTGTAAAGTTTTATAATTTTGAGCAAAATGAAGTGGAAGGGTAAATTTATCATTTTATGTCTTAAAAAAGAGATTCTGAAAACTAGAAAAACATTTTTTAAAAATGTTAATGTATCATTTTAATATTATCAAAAATAAAGAATATTAAGAGTATGTTTCGTTACAATACAGAGTGTTAAAATGATTTTATCTCATATATTTTTGTTTCTCATTGCAATTTTTTCTTTTTGTTTAATACTTTGGGTTGTTATCACTTTCTTTGATAAATAAATTGATCAAATTACAACCACTTTTTCTAAAAATGTCTTTGGATTTGGAATAATAGTGAAAATACATAATATTAAGAGCCCGTTTGGTTCATGAATTAAAATTATTTTCGATTTACGTGTATTTTTTGTAAGAGAAAATACTGTAACGAACCATGAACCATAATTCGAATAAGAGAACGAATCATCTAATCAAACGGGCTCTAAGTAACATAAATACGACCCCATTGCATTGATGACAAAGGTGGGGGTGAGAAAGACACTGAGGAGAGAATAGGAAATTAGTGGCCGTGATAAAAGTCATGTTTAATAGGGTACTACTAGTGTGGTCTTATACGACTGGTTGGATTCCATCACATGGAACTGACTGGTTATTAGAGGGTCTTTTATTTTATGCAATATTGTTTCAAATCAGCTCATAATATTGTTCTAACAACTGTATGAAAGTTAGGTATCTTTTATTATCTATGTATTTATTTCTCCTATATATAAGAAGCCACCGTATGTTCGTGCAATATTAAACTACGTTGTTTTCAATCAAGCATCTACACAATACAATATGAAATATTTGTTGCAACTCGTGTCGTACATGTAACCGTGGTCTAAAGCTAGCCTTGTCATGTGATGATTATATATACATATACATATACATATACACACACACACACATATGGCTAAAGATATGATGATGACATTTGAACGACAGTAATTAAGTTGTCGTCTAATTCAGGCCAAACGAGTCGTTGCCGTCCCTTTCAGTGTCATTACGAACGGTTGGATTTATTATATTCCACTCTCCTTGGCGCGCTTGATACAAGACTTGGGGCTGTTTGGAGAGGCTTCCTAGACTATAGCAAGCTACTTTTGAATTCCTCTGCCGAAAGTTATTTCTCGTATTAATGTTCGGATAATTTTTTTATTTTTTATTTTTTAAAAAAGGACTTTCAGATAAACTTTACATCTTGGGCTGTTTTCGGATTGGGAGGTGTGGTTTTTCGCACTATCGTGGAACCAAATCGACGGGTCAGTTGTGAGATATCCATTAACAGAAACGACTGACTAGAGGTAAGACCTGAAACAAAACTGTCCGTTCAAACTCGGTCGGTTTCAGTTGGACCCTTTTTTTATACCACAAACACAGAAAGTTTGAACTTTTTTTTTTTTTTACCTATCACTAGTACATACATGGGATATAACGAATGTTATTAACTGTCGTTAAAAGATTAGACGATGGTTACAACAACCGTCTTCTAATTGCGAGTCGTTAAATGTTTGAGGCATTTAACGACGGTTTAAAAACGTTATCTAATGTATTGATTTTAGATGACGGTGACCGTCGTCTAAAGTAATATTTTTTAATAATTGTTTTTACTGAATACATACCGTCGGGGCTAATGTAATATGCAAGAATAATTTATATAAACAGGTCTATACCCCTCAAAAAATTTCATATTTAAAGCTCAACCATAAATATCGCACCG